TCCAACCTTCAATCAAGCTCCCGAACGGCTTTGGAGGCAATGTAATTGGTAGAATAAGGTTTGGGAGTGAAGGGATCAGAGGAATTTCAAAGGAGAAGGGAGAAATGAAATCTCCTTGAACCCTAACCCCTTCCTCGAACCCTAACCCCTTTAAATCCTCTCTGGTTACGACACTTTCGCTACAGCGAGAAATTCTCGCTAGAGTGACGCCCTCTATCGCCACAGCGAAAATCTCAGATGAAACTGCACCGTGGTTTCTGCAGAATCTCGCTACAGCGAGACCCTTTCGCTATACGAGACTGCACCCAAATATGCACCCGAAACTATCTCTCTGTCGCTACAGCGAGACGTCTCTCGCTATAGTGAAAAGATGACAGTTTTGGTCCTTCCTCCCAAGGCCCTCTCGCTATAACGATACTGCACCCAGATATGCACCCCAAACTGTCGGTCTGTTGCTACAGCGAGACGTCTCTAGCTACAGCAAGAAGTTGACAGTTTTGTTCCTTCCTCCCAGGGCCCTTTCACTACAACGAGAATCCTTTCGCTACAGCGAGGACAACCCAGAATCACACCCTGCACTTAGCCCATTTTTAGCCCAACCAGTCATGCATGCACATATATATACACATATTCACAACATATATCCAAAAATGCACACATATATATGCATTTAGATCTATATAAATAACAATAATTAATATTACAAAATGCGAGGCGTTACACCTCTGTTCTGCGATTCTTGTAATTTCTTTCCACTTCTGAGGGTGATGGCGTTGCATTGCTCCCTTGGATTAGGTTCAGACTGAGATGGCAATGTTCCCATCACTCTTTGACTCAGAAGGTTCGTAATTTGCTCCAATTCTGCACTCATCTTAGAAGAGTTAGCCAGTATTTCAGCTTTGACTTCTGCAAACTTCTTATCAATTTTCTTAACATGTTGGTCCAACTTGGATTCAAGCCCTGTCATCCTCTTATCAGAGTAATGCACATATTGCATCATTTGTTCTTGAAAGTTAGACTGAGATCTAGGGGCTTTTTTCCCTTCTGGTCTTGCTCTTTGATTTTGCATATAGGGAAGGTGATAAACACTTGAATTTTGACTTCCAAAGTCATTCCCCCAAGATTTAGGAAGATTACTCCTCCACCCTGAATTGTGATTACCCATGAAATTTGCCTCTTCTTGCTTAGATTCTGGGCTTGCAAAAGCTCTTATAGGTTGATCTTGAGCCTTCATTAAAGATTCTAATTGCTTTGCAAGGGCTGCCATTTGGTTCATTAGTGGGCTGCTGCTCTCTGCTTGGTAGACTGGGGCAGTCTCTTTCCTCTTAATGTCATAAGAGTCAGCGGTGTGCCACTAGAAGCTAGAAGATGTCATCTCATCTATTAGCTTGTATGCATCATCTGGATCTTTTCTTATGAGGGACCCTCCTGCTGTGGCATCAATTGTAGCCCTGGTGGTGATTGATAGGCCACTGTAAAAGATTTGCACCTGTCTCCACGTCGAAAAATCATGACGAGGACATCTCCTCAAAAGCTCTCCAAATCGCTCTCATGCCTCGAATAAGGATTCTTCTTCATATTATTTATTGGAAGCAACATATCTCCGAGGACCTTGATGGGAAAAAGTACTTTCCCAAGAATTGTTGAGTGAGATCCTCCCAAGTTGTGATGGAATTGGTTGGGAGTTAGGCGAACCATGCATTCACCCTTTTAGATACTAAAAATGGGAAAAGGCAGAGTCGAATAGCATCATTGAAGACTACATTGTATTTGATGGTATCTGTCAATCGAAGGAACTTTGTCAGATGGAGATTGGGGTCTTCGTTAGGCATGTCTCCAAACTATATGGAGTTTTGGACCATGGTTGTGAGTGCTAGTTTCAATTCAAAATTGTTTGCCTCCACATTAGGGGCTACGATGCTTCCAGGGGTGCCTCTAGCAGTAGGTGTCATGTAATCCTGAATTGATCTTCTTCCTTCTGTCTACGAACTGTTCTTTCAATCTCCAAATCAAAAAAACAAGCTGTAGAGCACTTAGAATGAGTGAGCATATATTAAAAGGAATTGTGAAATAAAAAAATTAAAATAAAATAAAAAGAAAAATTATAAAATATAAAAGAAAAATTTTACAATAAACAAAATAGAATTAAAATAAAGTAAAACACAAACTACTCAAATCAATTAAATTTGAGATTTTCTTAATATTGAAAAAGCAATCTCCGCCAACAGAGTCAAAAACTTGTACGGAGGGCAAGTGTACCCATCGAGAAGAAATAAAAGATTCTTAAATTAAGTTCTCAAAATATCATCCCACAAGGATTGATTTACAATTACTAAGAATTTTCTAATTCAATTGTTTGAGCTTCAAAGATACGAGATTAATTAAAACAAGAATTTATTAAATCAATTATAAAACTAAGAGTAAGGGATATAATGCACGTTTTGGTTAAACTTATCAAAGAGAAACCTAGGGCATATGAGTTTTCTCATTCAACCCTTTATGTTATTTTTCTGTTTAACTCTAAATTTGATTTCCTTGTGATTACCAATCATTCATATGAATACTATTAATACCCAATGGTCATGCAATATTAATATTCTTTCTCTAAATTAACATCTCAATGGTTATGCAAGACATCAATTTGAGAAAGTTTAAGGAACCTATGAACTTATTAATTTAATAACGATTAGAAGAGAAAGATTGGTTTGGTTCACCTAATCCTTTGTCTCGTTTTATCCTATAGATCTATTAATTAACCGAGGTACGGTCGCCTGACGATACAATTAATTAGGATTAAGAGAGAAACACAATAGGATAAAATCTAATCACGAAATGGAAATCAAATTTAAATTCAAACGTCAAAATCTCATAAATTCATGAACAATAGTTCCCACAAGATATTTAGGTCTTTTTCATTTACTTCAACGCATAGACACAATAGCATACTAGCTATTTATTGCCGAAATCTTCTTGTATTGACATGTGTTTCATGCATACATGCCTTTTATGGTGTCTCATATAATATATTCTTATTTTATTAATAAAAATTATTTCACTTAAATGATATATACATAAGAAAGAAGGTGGATGGTGCAAGTGGATGCAAATAATTTTAGGTGACGTTTTCCCTAAGAAAGAAGTGTTGATAAAATATCTTTTAACTTAAATTAATTCAATTAATTTCAATTCCAGTGAAGAGGATTCATGGAAATTACGAGTGGAATGGAATTGATAGAATGAAATTGTGGACATATTCCTTTATCATTCAACTAAAATAAAACTCTAGTTTAAATGTTGACAAAGCATATAAATATATTTTTAAATATTTGGTTGTTTTAATGTATGTCTGAGACAAAACATTAAGAATTTAAAAATAAAATTTTACTGAAAATAAAATTATTTGTTATTTTAAAATTATAAAAAGATATCCAGTACATACTTTTGTACTAATGTAAAATATTTAATAAAATACGTTTAACATTTTTTTTGAAACATTCGAAAAATAGTTAAACATATTTGTGGTGGCAACTGTAGGCAAAACGAACACAGTTTAAATCCACATTAATTCAATGGTCGTTTGCTGGTAAAAGCATCTGCACAATTTTCTCTTTCTTTCTTGTAATTTTCTTGTTCAGGTTAATTTGATCCAATTTTATTTCTAGATAGATTCTAATTATGGTCAATCTTTAGACTGTAACCACGTTTCACTTATCACTGGCCTAGTAAAAGGGAAAACTCTTGGGAGAATTTAGATTATAACTTAGCTGGCTGTATTTGGTCTATATATATAACTACGTTGATAGAGATCGATTGTTCTAATAGCATACATAGGTGATATTTTATTTTATTTTATTTTTCAAATTCAAAGTTTTAGTAGATTAACTATTTTTGTTAAAGATGAAAATAAATTAAGCTAAATCAAGTTTTGTAATGTTTGAGTATATTTTTTTATTTAATTATTTTAAGCTCCAATCTAATTTTCTTAAATAGATTTATCTAATTCAACTTGAAAGTCCATTTCAATATATATATATATATATATTTCATAACAATTACTTTTTAAATAGGACAAAAACTGATTTTTGAATAAGCTAATGAATTTAATTTGAAAATAGGTCAGAAGATTAAGTTTTAAAATATATTAATGGATATATAATCTCAAAATATATTATCATTTTTAAATTACTTAAATTAGTTGTCCTTTAAATAATTTTTTTAAGAATATGATATTTATTCAATAAATATGTCCAATTTAACATAAAGCTAAGATAAATTAGATAGTGAGTATTAAATGAATAGACCGATTTAAAAAAATAACTGGAATGATATATAAAACCTGTTAACGAGTCAACTTTGTTAAAATTCTGACATTAACATATTTAGGAACTACGATGAATAACGAATTTAACAAATTTTAAAAAAAAGTTAACCTTAGTTTAGAATTTAATAATAATAAATTTTATTAAAAAATATTAATATATTATAATATGATAAATATTATATTTTTCAATAAAATTTACTTCATTTAAATGCTGCCTTCAAAACTGAAGTTAATTATAAAACTGTAAGAAATTATTATAGTTTGGGTATCAAGCATTACTTTACACTGACAATTCAAAGGAATGTACCAATTAAGGTTGCCACAAATTCCCATGCATGCAGTTTGAAGTTGAAAAAGAGCTACACAGACCAAAAGAAGAAAAAAGAAACTCAACTACAAATGGCATTGAAATTAAAGACGCAGTGGAAGTACAAGTGGAGTACATGCAAGCAAGCAAACAATGACATCAGTAACTAGGATCATTATTGATGCAAGCGGCCTTTATTGACAAGAAACCTCAAACAGTAAATTTAGTAGACAAAATAACAACATGAAGTCGAAAATAACATTACATGCGAATCAAAAGCTATGACTGGACTAGATAATATAACGAAAAGCAATACTGGCAGCCCTACATTAACAAGAAGATCCATGCAAAGTGCAAGAATATATGATGAAGTCAAGGATCATGACAGTGGGGAAAGATTCCAACACCACAACCCAAACCACCCACTCCACCTAGACCACCCACTCCACCAGCAGCCCCAACACCACCACCTCCTCCACCTAAGCCTCCACCAGCCCCACCTAAGCCGCCTCCTCCACCGCTACCGCCACCTAAACCTCCCATTCCACCAGTTCCACCACCCAAGCCTCCAACCCCCCCACCACCAACACCACCCAAGCCTCCACCACCACCAGCTCCTCCAGCACCACCCAAGCCTCCAACACCACCACCTAAGCCACCTACACCACCACCAGCACCTCCAAGTCCTTTTGCTCCACCACCAATACCATGGAACCCGCCAATTCCTGCAGCACCACCGATTCCACCAAACTTGTCAATTCCTCCACCAAGCCCACCACCGAGTCCTCCAAACCTTCCAATGCCACCAGCCCCACCAGACTTCCCTATTCCCCCAACACCAGCGAAACCACCCACCCCAGCAAATCCACCAACTCCTCCAAACACAAAGTGCTTCTTGTCACCAACACCATTGCTTCTAGGTGATTCTGCACGCGGTGCACTTGCATGCACGTCCAGCTTTTGCTCATCGTGGCCACCACCACTTGGAACATTACGTGCACTTGCATGCACCATGATTAGCACAAGCAACACAAGGGTATTCCATTTTCCCATCTCTCTCTCTCTCACTCACTCACTCACACTATGAGCTTTTCTGCGACGGAAAAAACCTGTTGACGTGGATGGGATGCATGCAAACGGCCTTATATATACAAGAAAAGGTAGAGGACGGTTGAGAGTAATAAAAGATTGCAAGTGAAAATAGTTATGACTTGTGATGTCTCGAGAATGAGGAATCTTTATTATTAAGTGTGGGTATCAGATGGTTAGGTAGAATCAAAAGAAGTGCGAATTTAAGAATGTCATGTGCCATTTCCCTCATAGTAATTGCCAAAGTGACAAATACTAACAATTTTTGATTTTGCAGAAACTAACGGTGCTTCTCTAAATCCTGACACCTTTTGCTGTCAGGAATCCAGATGCTGTTTTTATTCTATGTTTAACGATTTAATTTTATTTAATTTCGCATCATAAGTTTGTGTTTTGAGTCAAATGTATAATTATTTCATTGTTGTCTGTAAAATATGATTAAAGCATACAAAAGTCTATATTTTGGTGCGCACAAAAGATATCTTCAATCACAACAGAGACTGATCACTTTGAGATACAAAAATCACTAAAATAGTCTTTATTTATGACAATAAAACTTTATTTTTTAAAAAAAGTTTTAATTTATGAGTTTTCGTAAGTCTAATTTTTAAGGTTGAATTTAAGCATCTAAAATAAATACTAAAAAAAAGTATATTTATGTTTATTTTTTTCATAAAATTTATTTATAACTAATTCCTTAATCTTAATCCCATGAATTTAGGTTAACAATTTATTAATTTATTTACATTAGTGTTTATAAATCTATCGTAATTCAAATGCAATATAAAGTGTGATATTTTCAGTTGATTTGATAATAGAGCACTTAACTCTTGTTAGCTTGTTAAATTAGTTTTGAGTTATAGATAATTACCACTTTAAGCATAATCTTGTACACTTCTGACGCGCTCCAGAAATAGTACATCTGAAATGATGTTGGAGATATACACAGTAACAGAAAGAACAACAGTCATATCAAAAGTTATATCAAAATAATGTTACGGAAATTAAAATTGTACTATATTATACAAATGCAAAGGACACGTGGAATATATTTAAAAGAAGGGATGAGATGGTTCAAATCTTCATTTCCATCACAAACAGACAGGAGAGAGCAGAGGTTGGTACGGTTTTGTTAGATTTAAGGAAGTATAGGATCTAGTGAAGTTAGAAGGTTAGTTTGGTAAGATAATGACTGGGGACACCAAATAATAATTGAATCCTCCAAAATTAGATAGGGTGTGGTTGGAACCTAGAACATCAACAATGGATAAAACATACAGATATTAATGAGATTCATGATTATTATTATTGCAAGTGTACTCCATTTTATGTTTATTTTGAGACTTTAATAATTTTTTATAATTTTGTTTTTAACAATTAATATTTGTTTGGTATAGATAGTCTCTCTTTGTTCTCTTTTACGAAGTATAATTAACTAAATTGCAAAATTTAATAAAAGTAGTTAAAGTTAATTAATACTTTTTCTATTTTAATAAAAAAATCCAGTAACACATTTTTTAATTTTAACATTATTTTTAAAATACATTTTATTCTTGATAAATTTTTAAAAAAATTAAAGTGATCAATAACAAGAAGTATTTTTAAGAGTATATTGTTAAAAAAAATATTTCGTTAATATATTTTTTAAAAAGAAAATGCTAAATAGTGCCTTTAATGTTTTTGTTAAAAGAAGTTATTAGTGCACCTCCTCTCATGATTTTCAGTGCATTCTATCACATACTTTTATATAAATAAATAAATAAATCACTTTTAATTATTTAACCAATATAAGCACCACACTAGTTAGCATGCAAGACATTTAAAAATAATATGCATTCTAACATATTTTTTATTAAAAAAAATCACTTTTAATTATTTAACCAATACTCTTCCCACACTAATAAGCATGTAAAGACGTTTTTTAAAAACATATTTATAATAATATATTACATTCATTTAATATCACTAAATTTCACTCCATTATTAACATTTACTTAAGGAGTTTTGTTTCGGTGTATATAATTTTTTTTTTAATTTTAGTCCTTATGTATCACATTTTTTATTTTAAAGTAATTTTTATAATATTTTATAAATTAAAAAATATTTTATGTCCTTTCACACGTGAATCAATTATCATTATTTATTTTATATTAATATATAATTAAGTTAATAATTTATTTTAAAAAATGTAAATATCTTTTAATCTTTAAAACATTAGAAGAATCATAATTGTTAATTTAAAAAGAGTATATAATGTCCTTTCAATTTTTCAGCTACCATAGTAAATACTTTATTTTAATTCATATAGTTTAAATTATTTTTTTTGTATAAGGACTAAAATAAATTTTTTATTATGTATAAAGATCATAATGAAAAAATAAATTAATGTAAGAATCAAAATAAATAAGGTTTATTACAGCAATTATAAATTTAAGAAGATATTATACCTTCTTTAGATTAATGATTATGATTTTTTTAATATAAAAAAATTAGAATGTATTAATATTTTTTAAAATTAAATTACTAACTTTACTATCTATTAATATATAAAATTAACGATAATGACTCTTTTATGTGTGAGAAAGGTCTCAAACTATCTCAAACGTAGAAGTACAGTATATTTTACCAATTTAACGCGAGATAATATTGTTACATGGAAGTCATGTACAGGCACTATTTTAAAAATATTTTCATACAGGGACTTGTTTATTATAAACTTTTTTTGTAACTGAAAAAAAAAAAGATTTCGTATAAAGAGAAAAATAGTATTTAAACATTAAAAAAAATGCTATCATCCCATCTCGTGTTCAAGAAGGTGGTTGGTTTAGTTTTGTTGGGTTTGTGAGGAACAATTTTGACAAAAACAGCCGCGATTCTAGTCAAAGCTTGGGGGTGATGGTTAAGGTTTGCTTAGTTATGGCGTCTCTGGTGACGAAGGATTATGGGTTTGAGAAAAAGAAAATTATTACGACACCAAATACAAAAACGAATTTTAATGGTTGTTATTAGTAACAGCGACAGTGGTTAAAATCACTCCAAACTTTATACAGTGGCAGTTTCATAATGGCTCAAAAGTGAACGTTTATAAATTAATATTGCAGTCATTGTATTGTAACCATTACTAAGATATAAAAGTTAAAAAATAAGGAAAATGCCATGCCGTTATAACCAATACTAAAATGTAAAAAATAAAAAAATAAAAAGTTTGCGGTAATTTCAATGGCCGTGCCAACCATTAACAATAATTACTTACTAAAATAAGATAAAATTTATGGTACTTCTATATTTGAAGGGCTCGTTACTTTTATTTTCACGTAAAATAATTATCAATATTAATTTTATATTAATAGATAGTAGAATTAATAATTTAATTAGAAAACATTAATACTCTCTCAGGTTTAACAAGCAGCTTAAAATAATTATTACAAAACAATCGCTATTATTATAAACAAAAAATAGCTTTGTTGCAGTTTTGTAAATTAATCTTAACGATTTTGTAACCATCGCTATTATTATATAGCAGTAAAAACTTATTAAATTAATTGTGACAGTTCTGTAATTGCTCCAAATTTAAAAATATCAAGCAAAGTTTATTTTATTGGCTAATAAAATATCAACTTTTTTTTGCACTTGCTGATAAGTTTATAAAATTTTCTCTAAAGCATACGGTCTCTAATTATATCAACTAACATACACAAGTACAATAAACTAAAATACTTGCATGATATTAAATATTAATTGTCTTCCGTGATTCAACAAAATATAAGAAAATTAAAATATAATTATTTAAGTAAATGTACATGAAAGTTAGTATAAGGTTTTCACATTAAGTTCCTTTAATTTCATACCATAAACTAAAACAAATCATTTAAATAGTCTTTGGTGATCACACTCTTTGATTTGTAGGCACATGACTAGAAGAGGTCGAGTGTCATTTATTTGTTGGTGACTCTAAATCAACCATCTAATTAAAAAAAAATAAATAGACAAAATGCAAGATTTATTGGTGACTCTAATCCTAGTCTGATTCCTCAAGGTAGCTTGGAAGTCGCCTCCAATCTTCCTCTCTAACTCTCCTAAGGTGCAGAAATAAAAAAAAATGAGAAAAGATCATAAAATTCTTAGTTTCCAACTTTTTATAATATTTCTGTGCTTCTGGCATGGTCACTATTTATTAAAAATAGTAGCCACGCGCAGGGTATTTCTACTTACAGCACTCTGCCATTATCACTTTTTCTGAAAATAGTAGTCACACGCACTCTGCGTTATCACTTTCTATGAAAATAATGGTCAGCGCAGCTTCATTCCCTCAAATAAGCTTGCATGTGGTTACTATATGTGCAGAGAGTAAGTAACCACACACAATCTTTCTTCCTTTGTGTTGCTCCTATTTATGTGGAAAGTGTCAACGCACATTCTTGCTCTTAAATAAAGGCTCTGTATTAATCACTTTTCCTAGAAATAGTGAACACGCACATTTTCTCTCTTGGAAAAAGACTTTTTAGTGATCACTTTTTCCAAAAATAGTGAACACACACTTCTTACTCTTAAACAAAGGCTTTGTAGTGATCATTTTTTTCAAAAATAGTGAACACGACCATCATGTTCTACCTAATTAACCTCAAAGTTGTCACTTTTTGCGCTAATAGTAGCCACACCATGCATTCAACCTTGGATTCTTCACTCTTTGTGTCTAGATTTTTCACGTTCTTCTACTTTCTCTTCTTGAACCCTTAGCCTCATGACTTTTAGCTCAAAATTTCCTCTTAATACCTCTAACTCATGTGTTTTTACTTAAAATCTCTTGCAAAACTAGTTCAACAACCAAATTACATCATAATTCTATTAAATCCTAATAATTTGAGTTACTAAAGACAAAAATTGACTTAATTGAATAATTATATATTTTTTGCAGTTTTCACCTT